CAAGCAATCTTCTTTTGCATAACTTGCCCATACAAACATTTTCTTAATAAACTTATTACAAATAATACCTTTCCATTGCAAGGCGAAAAAAAACCGTTAGAAACGGCACGAAAAACGCGTTTTTTCTTCGCATTGCCTGCACCTTACTTCCTTTATTATAGACTTTCAACTATGTATGCATCAAGTCCCGCCGGGTAGCCAAGCCCCACCTTTGGCTTTACCAAAATTTTCTGTTCTCATGCGTTTTTAACCCTTTGCTGCCAGATGTTTTTTTGAACTGTTATGTCTATATGACATAATAATGCACTATGTATGGATATTTCCGACACTTTCGAAATACTGATGATTTTCTGTATAAACAAAGGAAAATTACTCTATAGGTTATTTCCACTTACTTTTGAAAGAGAAAGAGAGACGTAGAAAGAAAAGCCTGTCCCATCAAGTAATAATATCAGTTGGTGTAGCCATAGATCTACAAACGGAACTATATAGGACATCACCGTAAACAGTATATTCATATAGAGAAAGATCCTAAAACAACTTCATTACAAACTGTTTTGCGCATAGGTTCTATGTATTGTCTTTATGATATACTTTTGATTAGAAAATTTAAAGTTGCGCCTTGATTTTGATATATTTTTTAGAGAACTATATTCGTAGCTATCTTGAGCAAGAACAAGGATTATAAAAACAACTTTTATCTCACTTTATTAATGTTGTATTTTGTATAGATGGTGAAAATAAAAAGATATTTATTCGTATAAAGCATTTGCTTATCGTAACTTAAGAAGTCTTTATCATTCTTTGTTATCATTTTGGAAATTATATAATCCAATCTATCATCATGAAGCATGAGAGTGAGAGTGATTTTGATTCACTACTATCACACTATGTTTGCCTGTACTATAAAAAAAGAAAAAGAAAATGAGAAATCAAAGCATATCAATTTAATCATATTGGTCAAAGATTCAAACACATCTACTTTAATCTTCTTACTTTTTTCTCCTTCTCGCATGTATTATTTTTTTGTATTCTAGAGACCACCTAGCGGTAAAAACTTGACAAAAAAACGCGTTAAATGTTTCAAAACCAACGCTTTTTTTGTCGTTCAAATGCATTTTTCTTTTATCTGTTCGTTTGGAAAGGCGTTTTTCGGAATTTCGTAACGCGTTGCTTTTGCGTTAAAAGCGTCTTTTTCAGTTCTTCTGTTCTCTCTGTGTGCAGTTTGTGTGTGTTTTAGTCAAAAAGCAATAAACTAGACCGGAGATCGAATTCAACCTAACAGTGGTGTCGTGGCCGACCTTCTGATTATCACAACGAACAGAACCTATCTCTAACAACTCATCTCTGACGGGAAAGAGTGAATTGAATCCCAATTGTGCCTCTAATTCAAAATCTGTCACAAATCGACTCGTTCTATGTCTTTTCTGACGATTTGAAACATGAATCGTGGACAAATGAATGGAGGAAAGTGAAGAGAATTTTCATTGAGATTGATAAACTATGTGATATCCTCAAGCGAGATATGCGTTATTGTGAGTACAATTTGACTTCGATCAGCATTATTCGTACGACTGATTTTTCTAATCGAGCTTTGGATCAGCTCGACCAATCATTTATGTACTCAAAACTGCTTAAAGAGATTCTACTCGACATAAAGTATGACGAGTATTTAATGAAAGGACTTGTTGATTTCTGTCGCGAGCAATACCGTGACAGTATCGCACAGTTAAGAATAATCGCCGAATTCGACCGAGAGTATCACTCTCAATCACCCATCTGGTGCTATACGCGGGAATGTTTTATATACCACATGCTGAATCAGGCTTTGCTAGTCCAAGACGTCGTGATTGTAACTAGGATGGGCTTCTTTTTACGAGACTCTTCATCAGGAAATCCAAACACTGCAGACTGAGACACCAATTTCTCGAGTCCTACTTACAGTTTATCGGGGGCAAGGAATGCCCACGAGTGAGTTCGAAAAGATGAAAGAGAGCAAAGGTGGTCTGTTGTGGTTCAACAGTTTTGTATCGACAAGCCTTGATCATCAACTGGCTCTTCTTTATGCAGATAGCGCCGCACAAAATCCAGATTTGACTGGAATTATGTTTCAAATAAGAATCAATCCTACCCTCGATTCTTCTTACTCATTCGAACTTCGATAACATCAGTTATTTCGACGATGTGGACAACGAGATTCTATTTTCGATGCACACGGTCTTTCGAATTGGTGAGATGGAACAGCTCGAGAATGGGATATGGGTGAAATTGACACCTACAAATGACGAGTTCAACAACTCAGAGTTCTTACTGAGCACTTTCGGAACGAAATACCCGCAGAAACAGGATGGTTTGCTTTAGGGAGCCTTATGAGAAAAATTGGCGAGTCTGACAAGGCCGAAGAAAACTACCGGTTGATACAAAACTCGACGTCTGATAGCGATAAGAAAACAGTTGCCCAAATGCATACTCACCTTGGCTATATTAAACATCGGACAGGTAATTATGAGAATGCGCTCTTGCTTCATCGAAAAGCACTCGACATAGGAGAAAAGTTTCTCGCACTTAATAGAGCACTAGCAAATAAGGAGATATCTCTTTTCACGTACGATATCTCGTGTGCCAACATTTTTTTGTCTCAGCGCGTCGATTGAAACGAAAGAGAACAGAAAGATATGCATGTGCGAAAACAGATATCTCCTTATTTGCTAGTGCTCTAATGATTCCGTTTTACTTCGTATTCTCGGAAACTTGGCCTTATTTCATGAAACGATGGGTAATTACTCGGCCGCACTTTCGTTCTATCAGAAATCGCTTGAAATTCAACAGGAGTATCTCAATTCCGATGATTTTGAGCTAGCTGGTATTTACAACAACATCGGTTTGTTGTATAACAGCATGGGCGAGTACTTGACTGCAGGCTCGTATTTGCAAAAAACGCTCGAAGTAGTTCCACCAAATCATCCGCGTTTATCTACGCATTGTGAATTTTAGGTGAGAATAACACCCAGCAATGTGATGATAGTACGACTTAGTAACCGGTGATGTATTCTAGTGTAGAACAAAAGTTCAGCATACTGTATTTAAGCAAATACACTTTCAAATTATTTTTCGATATCGACAGAAGAAATATTGTTATATGGAGATTCTATTTACTGGATACGTCGGCTATTTTCATTTTTATTTTATTTCTCTTCTCAATACAGCAAGATGTTTTTTATCTGATTTCCTTTTGTGTCATTTTTTGGTTCGATATTGAAATGTTTTATTCAAATGTCAAATCGTTAGTTCTAGTTCATCACTCTCTTTTCTATCTCTGTCAATTTGTTTTACATAAATAATAATGTCAATTGAAAATGGTGTGAGTGGAGAAATTTTTAAATTTTCAGAGTATAAAAATCCTGTTATTCCAGAAAATCTTTTTATTCATAAAAGGAACTTCGAACCAAGTGAAAGTCAGTTACAAATTAATTTATGACCATATTGTTTCCAGTCCATTCGTTGACATTCCACTGAACAATAGCGAGTTGAACTACAGTTCGCTTTGCCACAACATCGACACATATTTTTCACATTGTGAGTATCTCCCTGCAAAATAATCGATGAAACACCGTCAACTCGAATACCTGGTTTTCTGTCAGCCGTGAAGCGCATGTACGGATTTAAAATACTCATTTTTGTACCGTAAGTATACGTGTCTGTGATTAATTGGCGACCTTCCGACGGTGGAATATTATAAATAAATAGTCGTTCCAAATCACCGTTATCATCTTCGACCGGTAACCGTACAGATGGTTCAACGGTCGGCGATTGTTCGAAAATAGTGACCGACAATACGTAACCTTGATAAACATGATCTTCCATTCACGTAGAGCAATTGCTTTCAATCCGATTATAGAGAATAATGCTATTGAACAGGCGCATATGAAAAACGAAAAATATGTGATGTTAAATAAACATGTAATTATTTTCGAACATGAAGCCCAATTTAGTGCGATAGATGATTTAACACTTTATCTTATTAGACGTGTCACAGTTGATGAGAATACTGTGTATCTTCGTGAAGAAGGAATTCTTTCTCTTGCACAGAGTCAATTAAATCGTTTGGAATGGAAGACGGATTGAAGTCCTAAGTTCTATATGACTGGCTTCGCAAAAATAAGACATTAAGGAAAATTTATGGGGATAGTTTGGAATCTAGGTTAACAGATGCTGATTTAGAAGAACTACTATCTGAATTTTTAAAGAAAGTGCGTGGAAGAAAAGCTTATAACTTTTGAACGGAAAGTCATAGCAACCTGAGGTTTTCAGGGTTCAATAGACGACAGTCTATACATTTCCAAAGAAATAACTTAAACAACTTTCACGCACATATATATCTTGTTTTTCATTCTCGCGTGGCATATCTGTTAGTCTAAATGAAGTTTCTTCCCTAAAAGGCCTCGGGTCTCTCAAGGAAGCGAAATCTACGAATTGCTTAGATACCAATGTGAAGAGGGCATGTCGGGCTGCAAACCCTTCGAAAAAAATTCGCTAATTTGTCCTTAATTTCGTAAGCTAAATCTGGTCTGAAAAAGTACCTAGGAAGATCACTTTTCCACGCTGGCATATGCCCCCGACTGTCGTCTATTGAACCACCCTTAACTTGGCTTACCATGATTAAGAGTTTATTATAAATATGATTTCTTATACACGAATTTCCGACCTATTTATGCGGTCATTGTCAAGTGCAAAAGCGTACAGCGTGACTATCATTGAAGTAAAACAAAACTAAGAAGAATATATATATAATGTGATGTAGTTTTCTTTTCACTCTTTCTGTGTTATAACTTATCGCTGTATTTCATTGTTCTTATTTTCTCCTTTCGTCCATTTGTATGGCGTGATTTTTCCCGTCGCTTATAGAATATAGGCCTGAACCTTTTCACGGTATGTTCTTTCTGTCCCATAGATCGGAATCCGATCTTTTTTTCAATGTAAAAATTCGAAAAAAATTAAAGTACTCAGACGGGATAGAGATACACATCAATGGATTCGTTCTTTGATCCTGATTCCAAATACGATACTTTTATTCGATAGAAGTTGTGTTCTGTTAGAGAAAATTGAGAATTATGAGAAGAATTACCACATATTCGATCCGATCATCGGATCGAATACCGTTAGAATACACATATAATGGCAGTGAGCGATCCGGACCATTAAGAGAAGGAGAGCTTACTCTAATAACTAACGATTGTTTTACTAATGGTTTATAATGATGTTTGAATGAAGGCCTATATTCTATAAGCGACGAGAACAACGCCATACAAATGGACGAAAGGAGAAAATAATGCTAAACGCGCAATAATTGATCAAAATTTATCTGAGATGATAGCACAAAATGCTATCTATCCTTCAAGAAGCCCTTGGGCATCTCCGGTAGTACTAGCTCCTAAGAAAGATGGCACACTCCGTTTTTGTGTGGATTATAGAAAATTAAATACCTTGACCGTTCGCGATGCCTATCCTATACCCCGAATTGACGATACTCTTGATGCTCTACAACAAGCAAGATTTGTATCGTCAATCTGTATTGTCAATTTTTTCCGTGGCCTAGGGAGTTATTATTTTTAGAGCTCTTCAGTGTTTTTCTAGCGTCAACCAAAGCTAGGCATACCTTGTAAAAGGGAATTTTTTTTCTTTGGTAACATAATGCAAAAAAGAGAATGGTTTCACTCATTCAGTACGCGCGCAGGAATAAAAAGGATGCATCAGAACTACTAAACCAGAAGATAGATAATTAATTCGAGCGATTTGGCGCCAAGCGAACGTTTGTAGTTCGCGCCCAAGTCTATTTCTGTCGCATTTGTAGGAATAATTATAAACAGGACTTCTTTTCAATAATTATGCAAGAAATCTCATGTTTTTCCATTATTTTTGAGTGAAGCAAGTGCTCTACGTAGAACTTTAGGCATGGCAGCCATCTTGGATTTCTATTGGTTAGCGTACGAAACGAATAAAATAAATGTACGTAGATACGAGCGCTCTATAAATAAATTAAAAGGATCGGAGCTGAGCATTTCAGTGTAGTAAGAGAAAAATATTCTGAATCGAACTGCCGATTCAGATTTTCCACACTGGGGTCCCATATCCAATATGCTTTTCACTATTACTGACGAGAGACATTTGTCCTTGCCAAATATCTCAGCGTTTACATTTCCAGTGAGTTTTTTCGAAGGTCAGCGTTATTTGGTTGTTACTCATTTTGTAGTCAATCAAGTTACAAAGCGAGAAAAATATACAAAATGATCAGAAATTATTCACCTCATTTCATTAATGGCTTTTGTCCTAGTTATGTTTAAAATTTTAATCTTTTAGGTACAGAAAAGTAGAGAAAACTGTGACAAAGATTTGTTTGGCATGATATGCTTAGAAAATATTAATTCTTTTTCTATGGAATAAACTTCTTAAACAATATTATTGATGTTCTTTATACGCATGCATACAATTTATTTATTTAAAGTTTGTTACCACAAAGTGAACACCCGACAAATGCTTCATACTGATGTACCAAAATCTAACTTGGAAAAAATCTCTTAGTTATTTTACAAAATAATCGTTACTACCATCGTTTCAACCCACAAAACTAATAAGGGTCGATTATACGAATAGTCAATCCCAGCAATAATTCATTTCTTGGTGAGGTGGTTCAAATATCACTGCACCGAAATTCGAATTGTTCGAAGGTCGAAGTAATATCATTTTAAGTCTTCATGATTACTATACAAGCATGAGCATTTGTTTAGATAATAGTAAAATATTACAATGAATTCGAAGGGTAACAGTCTCGGGGGCATTACTAGAAGATGCGAACACCCACGAGCACGTGCAAATTCAAATCTGAGTTAGCCAATCAATAAACCTTGTCGAGCCGAGTATAGCAACGCCTAACAAACACCCAAAAACGATTTTAGAGTTTCGCTTTTTAAACATACATTTTCAATGAAAAAAGGGGGTTGCACAAACGAAACGGTAAGAACACTCAAAAACATGTGCTAAATTCATTTTCAGGTTGTTCTGAACCTGCTGGTACCATTTTCAACCGGAACAAAATATTTTTAAGGGTTTTGAAACAATTCTCTCTTTCAGATATTGTATAACTACAACTAAACGCCGTTTTTTGACTTCACAGTAAAGAAATCTAGACATATTATGTGTCATAAGAAAGACCGTGAACTTCTCTACAAAAGTACTATGTAGGAATTATTTAAAAGTTCTTCGTTCAAATTTTAATTGTGACTGACCTTCTCAATTGTAGACTCCCAATTTGGTATATCATACACATGATTTTTGCAAAGAAGAGAAACACGATTTTTTCTAAGAGTCTAACGCGTATCGCTAGATTCAAAAATCCTAAATTCAGTCAATGACTTGTCGCAAATGGAAATAACATTAAAGAGTATAAACAGTTATAATCCAGTTTTTTATTGTGTCTTTTAGATAAAAATACTTTTCATCTTTAACAGTTTGTTTTACTTGATAATGACCGGTTAAGGTCTAAATATCGTGAATAAAAATAAAAAACGATCTCATTTTACTCGGCTACTGTAATTCTAAAAGTCTAACCATTTGAAGTTTTTCTTTAGATCGAGGACGTCCAACAACTATGGATGATAGCGTACTCGATGATTGTGATTGTCAACAGCTTCACTCTGCTAACGCCGTATGTGTGATTATAAGCAAAGTTTAATCCTTTTATTAAAAAAACATTTTCTCAATAATAACATGTGTATAAAAACATATTTATTCTTTAATAGATTATCTGAACAGATTTGGACGTCTATACTCGAGATGCACGAGTATTATCACACTCTGTTACGGCAATATCGTTTCTTTCTATGCATCTGGACATATGGCTTTTAACGTTCCATACAATGCTTGAGTTAAATCTCGAATTTCATGAGTGAAAAACACATGTTTCTTACTAGTAGATATTGCTTCTAATTCTTCCATGTTAGCTTTTTCAACACCCACTGTATAGATTTCAACATTCTCTGCCTTCAGGCTACTAGCCGCACTCACAGTTGCTTTTCTATCATTCGATTCACCAGCTGTAAATACCACACACACATTTTTTACCCTTTTTCGATCTCCATTTCTCTCTTTGAATATATCTTGCTTCATTGTGTTCAAACCTAGATCTGTTTGTGTGCCACCTGATATACGGGCCAATCGACGGATATCTTCGACAGTAACAGGCTGATTAAAATGTCGAAATATTTGTGGTCTATTTGCATACAGAACAACACCAAACAAGACTGAAACATTTTGATTTTTCAAGACAGAAACAAATTCGGAAGTGGCATTTACAACTACAGCCCATTCTTTGATACTTGAAGATGAATCCAGTAAAATACCAACATCAACTTCTACACGACATTCTATATTTATACAGAAACAGTACAAAGTAATAGTTAAGGAAGCCTGCTTACATATGTTGGTAGTATAGTTTAAAACTGATCGGTAAAACTCATACTGTTTAGATGAGAAAAACCTACTTGGACATGGCCATATGTTACATTTCTCCACTTCGTTATCTTGAATGTTGCAGGATTTACATGGTGCTCGTCTATTGTTCATAAAACACAAATTTGTTCTCTCCCTCGTGCCACCATCGCAAATTCTACTACAAGCACTCCATACAGTTGAATTTACACTACATAGACCTATAGATATAGATGAACAATAATTAAGCAGCATAGTCTATTAAACAGAACAATTACTGGGTTTTGCACTAGTGACTGATTCTTTTGTTGGAATTACTGTAGCTGTTTGTGGTCTTTCTATGATAAATAATAGCAATAGTCAAACTATCGTAGAATAATGTAAAGCGCTCCTCTGTGATGTTTATCATTAAATTGAGGTTGCATAAATCTATCAACTCGTTCACAAACTATGTGTTACACTGTAGAAAAGGCAAATTCATCAGAAAACAGAAAATGTGTTTTTCATTTGTCTCATAGAGGGATCTGACATGAATGCGCAAAAATTAGTAAAGCTCATTTTCCCGTATTTCTACTTATTGCGCAATCCAGAAATAATAACTGAACACTTTCGAAAGCAAAACTTTATTCTATCAAATACAGCGCTTGAGAATTTTATTAAATAATCAATAGATGCCGACCTTCTTTTAAATAACATTTAAAATATTAAAAACATTTGCGCAAAAAGTCAACACCTTTCTTTAAATTGTTCCACAACAGTCGCAACGAACATACACGAATACATCTTACATTTATCTCTCATCTCGCATCAACAATCTACATGAATGAAAATTACCAAGCACCGGGCAATAAAAAGCGCATTAACTGCAAAATTACCGTCCACGTATCGTATGAGCTAAGTACTTTCTATGATCGTACAATGTCCGATGGAAAATACTCTTACATACTAACTTAGTGTTACATAAATAACTGAAAGAAACAGTGCATACCTGTCCACTAGTTTCGCCGTTGTTTGCAAAATACTTTCACCAGTCGTTCCCACAATTCCTACAAAAAGAAGCGCAAGATAACATAATGAACTGTAGGGAAAACACAAATAATACGACTGACCACATGATCAGACGTCATCATACGTTGACTAGCATACGCTAATTCACGAAATCGGTGTTCCTCTTTCACATTAGCACTTCTTAAATTGTTCTATTCTTAGAAAAATACATTTTTCGTAAAGGCAGTCTACCAATTGGCGTTCTCTACGTTACCAATGCTGATACTTTATCACTCAAGTCCACTTTCTTATTGCAAAGCGCGACGAGAGTCTCTTTGAAACTTCGCGGCACAATAACGCATTCGCTGTGCGACTCGAAATAAGACGCGACTTTTACCGACGGTTATTCTTTCAAGCTCATACAATGCTCAACACCTTTCAAGTGTTTTACTATAGTTACTATTTATTCGCGTTTAAATGAACCACGCTGGTTTTACCGCGAACGTCGCGGAACGGCGTACGCGTGATGTGATCACGCAAGACTATATTACTCATGCCGTAAGCTATTATTAAGGTTTCATAACATTTTGAATTTTTGAACATTGACCAATTTTTTCTTACAGTGATCGCGCCTGCTAAAAGGTTGCTATTGTTGCTAAAACCAAGAGTTGGTCCCGATCGCGCCGCGACAACAGCTACTTTCTAGCGATCAGCGCGCGAGCTGCGTTAAGACAATCGCCGAGCGACGCCCGCGTTCGTGACACGATAAAAGCCAGAAACCGGACTTAGACACACATATTTTTGTTTTTGGAAACAGCCGCTACTTATAAGTTGATTCTTCGAAATTTAACACTTATACACCATAACAAATCGACGCCATATTAATTTTCGAAAAAGTTTTTTTTCTTATCCTATTTTCGTTCCCGTAAATAATTTACATATAAAGCCACCTCTTCTGCAAAACACATACAAGCTGCTGTTCATAACCAGAAATAACAAAGGGACGTTAAAGTCGTATTTATCCAGATCGACAGACACACTATGAGCTACATGCTAACTTAGTGTTACATAAATAACTGAAAGAAACAGTGCATACCGGCCTTAGTAGTCGCTTCCACTAGTTTCGCTGTTGTTTGCAAAATAGTTTCACCAGTCGTGCGCATAATTCCTACA